TCAAATGCTTCAATTCTAAAATAATTCTCTAGAGCATCATATTGCTCAATAATTCCACTTACAGCGGAAATCAGTGACAGCCACCTGGTCTGTGATGAATGTAATAATTTGTGGGGTTTGATTTTAAAAAATGTTTGAAATTCTTGAAATTCCGAAAATCGTTTAAAACTGCGATGCATATAATTGTATACGCTTCTTACCAACTTTTGGATGCACTTCTATATTTTTTTATTGCATTTTATACTTTTTTGTTTGCTACAAAACTTTCAAAAAATCACTTTAAATATGACATCAAAAGTTGTCACTAAATCACTAAACTTGTTCAAAAATCACTAGATCTAGTGAAATTTCACTAGACCTGGCCTCATTGCGACAACTAAAATGGCAAGTTTGACAAGGCACGAGCTACCAACCGACTTGGCTAAGATCCCCCTCTCTTCCAGGGATGTTCCGACATGCACAATTGTACATATTATGCACAATATGCACCCCCCACACAAAATATGCACAATCGCCAGTAAATAAAGTGCATTTTTTTATACAAAACTGGCAATGAATTTTCTTAGCAGCTGCATGAACGAGTGAAATGTACTGTTAGACACATACAAAATACTAATCCAGTAATTATTTGTTACGCATCCGAGTCCCGATGATTGTTCATAATTGATGGCCTTAGTTAAATCTAATAAATAAATATTTTTTTATTCTTGTATTATTTTCTTAAATTCGCATTAAACAATAAAAAGGTTCCATGAAATTTAAGTTTTTTTTTAAATTGGCGGTTGCGCCAGAAAATCAGTATACATATATGCACATTTTGAAAGAAATATGCACAATTTCTATTAACATCTTTGCACAATTCAAAATCCATCGAGAACAACACTGCTCTCTTCAGTGATTTGGGAACAGTGGCGGTGCAAAATGATGCCTTAGCCCCTGTGGGTACGTCTGCCCGCCCCATTTTACGAAAACTAACTCGCCTTTAATGTACTAAGGGGATTTAACGATATAAAAACTACGCGAACGCTTGCAACATATAACAAGATCGACATCATATAGGTGCGTGTCTATCTATAAAATATTTGGAAATATCCAGGGTGTTGCACAATTCCGTGGCACAACAAACATGTGTGTATTAGATATTTGAAAACACCTTTCGCAAACAAGGAGATTGATATATTATAATATTCTGTAAGATTTTTTTCTGCATTTGTTATATTTTGTTGTATATCTCCAAATAATTTAAAAATACACAGCTATAAGATGTCAATCTTGCTGCGCAAATCGTTTTCAAATGTCGTTAATAGTTTTTCTATTACACTGCTTTTCATTTCCTGTGGAACACCATGTATATACTAAATAATTTCGTATGATTTTTATTATATCTTTGAGTACCTATACAATAATGACGAGTTAGTTTTCGTAAAATGGTGCTGGCAGGCTTACCCACAGGGGCTAGGACTCCAAACTTTAACACCCTGTGTCTCCAATAGAAAGCAGTGTTGGGTTTTCTGCCACTTCCACTTGGAACATTTTATCAGCATAACATGAACTATTACTATACGAATTTTCAATAAAATTGCCTTGTGGTCAAATTCCATATGTTTTGTGTCTGGCACTCTTAATCCAACTGTCGCGCTCGTATTATATAGAGTAAAGTTGGGTAACTTGTACTATTTGGCATATTTTATGAATTAAAAAAAAATTGAAAACTTATGTAAATATTGAGGGTTTAGAGAAAAACTTTTTTTAAAATTATACAAACGGTACAATTTATCGTACCGGTTCGTTAAGTTGTACCACGCTGTTTGTAAATTTGTTCCTTACCGGAAAGCACTAGATTTTCAATGTTAATTAAACGAGTAATTTAACCAGCATACACACAATTAGGAACATATGTGAGACAAAATACTACTCTAACGATTTAAAGTAACATATCCGTATAAATCGAAAACTTTCATTTATGGAACTTGAGTAAACGAATCACCGATTTGGAACACATTGGTAAAACAAAAACATTACTACAAATAAATTCCAATATTTGCTTAATTTAAACAAAAATATCAGACAACGATTGAACCCCACCTATTAGATATTCCGGTACAGTTTGCAGACCAAATGGTGGTACAAATTATCGAACTGCTGTGAATTGACGTAAATTTGTTCTATTTCCTTCTAAAGACTGGTGTTTGTCTTGCGGTACGAATATTATGTAAAAACCTATAAAACATCAAAATACAGCCATTCCGCATTTGCTCACTAGGATCGTTGTGAGCGTCCGTCTATGGCGGAATGACTCAACCGCACGCATTGTTGGTTGCATAATGCTTTGTGAAGCTGAGTATTAGTCTGTAGTTTTCATTTCTGAGAAGAAAGTTGATTGAATAGTAAGATCGTATCTGGATGATTATGTGTATTGGTCTGCATGTTTAAATCAGTGATATTTGCGTTGTGAGAAAATCATTACTGAATATGCTGCCAATTAAGTACATCTATTAATTGTGCCCGACGGATTATTTATATGTTGTCCTTTCTGAAGACAGGTTATGTTCAAAGTTATAAATTACGATTTTTTACGTTTATTTTTGTTTTTTCGAAAAAATACTGGAAATCACCAATGCGACAATGCGACCGCGTGGTTTGTAATTACTGTTAGCATGTATATGACTAGTATTCGACAGTTTAGAGTGAATATAATTATATCTTATCTCTCTCATTTTTTAAATTCATCAAATTTGCATATGTAATTTCCAGAATGGATTAGAAAAAGTGGATGCGCAACTAATTTCTAGCTTTGAATCTCAAGTAAGTGTATTTGAGACAAGAATCCAATGGAATTAGAATCAACACATACTATTAGCTCACGAATCCTCACTATGCACCTACTCAGCTTAGTCCTCCAGTAATACCATCTCTGAAGCAGATCTAGTGGCGAATTTAGAGTGCGGCGCGGGGGGCGCGCGCCCCCCCCTAGACGTCCGACAGTTGCTTTTGTAATCTAACACCATTGTGTTGCTTTCTGACACATCATGGCGACAGAGGCATACTAACTACGAGTATAAGTTATAGCTATAGGAACTGAGCATTGCGATTTTTCGGTATCCTTTGGTATTCCAAACACTGTCCTTCTTCCACATCACTTACGTTTACAGCACAATTCTTACGATTTATACGTATATAGATACTAGTATTGTGACTTGTGACAGATCTAAGTTTAAGCAATATATTAACTATACAGATTGAACTTAAAAAGTTATTTATGTTTTGTTTATTGCTCAATAGTAATTTGAAAGGTGTGTAAAGCTTGACTGTTCGCGGTTGGGTTGCAACGAAGCACTATTAGTATAATCATATTAGACGAAAATGTCCCTGGTTTGAGAAATATTTCTAAAGTCTGGTTTCATTACTGCAAGTTGCTCAAGGGGGTATTCAAAACATGGACGCATAAAATAGGTACACCATAAACTAGTAGTGATGGCCGGAAAACAGGTGTTTGAGGATAAACAATTAGAGATTCTCAAAAGAATACTTGACCATTATACTCCAATTTTGCTGTTGTTATTTAGAAATATGAATCCTGCGGATTTAAAGAATTTCAAGTACGAAGTTGCGTAAAATTATCGTCGCATTACCGAGTGCCCAAACCTGCATTTTGCCTAGTTTTTCGGCCATAACATTTTTGCTATTAGTCGGATCTTTTCACGTGTGGTCTCATTCTGTAGGTCTTATAAATACCTAAAAATGTTAGGTAAAAAGTTTTTTCGTTCCTGTCAACACTTTCGATTGAATCCCAAAAAACATGTTTTCTCATTCTTTGTTGTCAAATAAAAAGTTTTCCTACAAAAATTGGTGTAACCATTTTATGCATCCATGTTTAAAATACCCCCTTGAACAACTTGCACCAATAAAACCGAACTTTGTAATTCTTTCGGGGAAATTTGCTAATATGATTAGACTAGATGTTAGATGAACGCCTACATTGGAAACATACATTCATGAGATTTGCTTAGCGGTGCGCCTGTAGCCTGTCCAGAAAATGCGTCGATCGATGCTCAAAGTCAATACCACACGTCCCGCATTTCTTCCCGCGTATGTTTCTATTTATGTTGCTTTATTGGAATTCGTTTAAGTCACAGAGCTTCTGCACTACACGCGAATATGTACCGCCCTGTATTCCTGTTCTTGTTTCGTACAAACATACCTTATCAAAATAATTACGATCTAACATATATAGTTTTTTCCAAAGATTACTAACATTTTTACATGCGATCGAAAACTGAGAAAACAACTATGCCGTAAATCTAAGTTCGACAAAGAAAGTCTGAGGAATAACTGTAAAATCTACAATAATGAATTTCAAAGAATAATTGACTATACCTATTGATATTTTTATCACTTGCTGATATAATAGAAGGGCTTGATTGTATCAGTATTTACACCAATTGCTTGATTTGTTTAACGGGTAGTTCAGAGTATTAATCAATCCCGAATTGTATTTTTTCATATCTTGACTTTTTCAAATTGCAATGATGATAGCAATTCGGATTTTAGCAAATTTCATTCTTGCTGTATATAGATAACATGTAATTATACTTCTTTCTCTTTTAGTTATTTCTTCAGAAGCCATCCCCTAGCAAAATGTTTCTGCTGCGCCACTGCCTTGCGAAATTAGAAAAAATCTACTGCGACTGCGGACTACACCGTCCATCTGCCATATTCCGAAAGTTGACGTATGCAATGCCAGTGATACCAATTGCCCATTTCCCCTCTATTTTTTCTAGGGAATTTTGTTTTTACCGTTTCCTAAGTCGTTCTAAATGACAGCTGCTCTTCCAGAAATTAGAAGTTGCTGCGATTTTCCGACATTATCAAGTCATTATCATTGCAAAAGAAAGGTGTTTGTGTTTTCATCGACAAGGTAGCAGAAAACTATCTTTATGTGCAATAACAACGTTACAAACATCTACTGAAGGTATATTTTGTGTGAAGTAGTGCCGGCGTCACCATGTCGGACGAAAGCCATCCAAAAACATTGTATGTAGGTAATTTAGACTTGTCAGTGACGGAGGACCTGTTGTGCACGTTGTTCTCGCAAATAGGCCCTGTAAAAGGATGTAAAATCATAAGAGAACCCGGAAATGATCCGTATGCTTTTATCGAGTTTACCAATCACCAGTCTGCATCCACGGCTCTGGCCGCTATGAACAAAAGGTTGTTTTTAGATAAGGAAATGAAAGTCAACTGGGCTACTAGTCCCGGTAATCAGCCAAAACAGGACACCTCGAACCACCATCACATCTTTGTGGGTGACCTGTCACCAGAAATTGAGACTGAGACACTACGAGAGGCCTTTGCCCCATTTGGGGAAATATCAAACTGCAGAATCGTGAGGGATCCACAAACGCTGAAATCTAAAGGATATGCTTTCGTTTCTTTTGTAAAAAAAGCTGAAGCTGAAAATGCCATACAAGCGATGAATGGACAATGGTTAGGATCACGATCTATTCGCACCAATTGGTCCACAAGAAAACCTCCACCACCAAAGTCAGAAAAACCCATGCAGAGGGCAAAACAACCTACTTTTGATGAAGTTTATAACCAAACGTCCCCCACCAACACCACAGTTTATTGTGGAGGATTTATGAATGGCATAAGTGATGAGCTGATTCATAAAACATTTTCACCTTTTGGAACGATACAAGATATTAGAGTTTTCAAAGATAAAGGTTATGCTTTCATTAAGTTTGTCACTAAGGAAAGTGCCACACATGCCATTGAAAGCATACACAACACTGAAATTAACGGAAATAATGTCAAGTGCTTCTGGGGTAAAGAAAATGGTGGATTAGGTCCGGATCCAGGACTTATGGCTGGAGGAGGTGTTCAGGCAGCAGCAGGACCACCATACTCTTATGGTTATGGAAGCTACTGGTACCCTCAAAGCTATGGAGGGGGAGGATACATGCAAGGTTACCAGCCATATCAGCAGTACCAGCAATACCCAGGAGGCCAGCAGTACTGTATGATGCCACAGCAAGGTCAATGGGCAGGACCTCCTGGACAACAACCAAACGTACCAGTAATGTATGGCTCAATGCAGAAATATCCATCTCAGTGAACTGACAAAAACAGGTGAATCAGTGCATGCTGCAATTTTGAAGTTACTTCTATCAGTAATTGCAGCATACTCTCTGTAGTATAAGGGACATTTATTATCAAATTAAGTGTGTAGTTTTGCCATTACACAATGAATAAAAATCATAATTTACCATATGTCACTTCTGTACATAAAGCAAATTCTGTCAATTGTTGTCTAATAATCAATGCTTAGGAGATCTAATTTATAATAGGAGTAGCTATATCCATCACATATGTATATTTTGTTTCAACTATCCCTTTTCAAGCAATTGTGATGTTATGAGAATTACCAATTGTCAATTTTCATGTTTTTGTTCACCTATCATCATTTTTTGACATTACAGTAGTATGATATTATATGATATTATGCTATCCTACAATTTTTTATAATACATTGCTTCTTTTGATTGTACTTAACCTTTAAAGTCTGGAGCATATGTTTTAGGCAATAATCGACAGATCTAAAAAATATTCCTTTTAAATATACACTATAATGTTTAAAAACAACATTGACATTAAACTTTATCAGTAAAATGTGAATTGTGAATGGGTTATGTATTCAAAACTAATATTTTCATCAGATTATATTCCTTTGTCATAAAGCATTTAAAAAAAAAAAAAATGGGATATATATTTTAAGATTTGCAAATGCATATCTTTCAATATTGATCTAAAAAATGTAAGTTGAAGACATATGTCTCCTTGAATTTGGTGGTTTCTAGCAGGTTATACTTCAGTAATTTATCCAATAACAATTTTTATAAATATTAAAAATTCTCTTGGGTTTTATCATAATAATGTTTGAAGTAAATAGCAAATACACCCACAAAACATCTAAATTTTCAACAAAGATTGCAAGCAAAGCATTGTGCCAAGTAGCTAAAAATAAACTTCCTTTATGCAAAAAACTTGAAACTTTATTTAGTTAACATGTTGGATTAATGCTTCACAGTTGTGTTCAAGGAAAATATCCTTGAACTCGATCTTCTAAACATAGTGAGGTGATAAAAATAACAGTAACAGAGTTCAATAGCCATCCAGGCAATTCCATTATTTTTTATACTTATAGTATTGTTAACTCATATGTGGCTGGACAACTGATCAATGAAAAATGTTATAAAGGCAGCAGTAGCAGTGCACAAATTTATCATAGCAACATACAACAATCTAAACTCATAATTGATTCTCTGGCTAAACTAGGTTATGCTTCATATTTATGCAATATATTCAGTCAACATTCAATTAACTTATTTTGTAGCTCTTATATTAAATTTTACATAGCACAAAAAATAGCTTGGAATATACAAAGAGACAGAAGAGTTAGAGTTGAGAAATTTCATGACCCATGACAAAATACAAAACTACAGTAAAGAATTCAACATACTTGTAGTAAAGATTAATGATCATTACTTAATTGTATCTGAAATCGATAAGTATGGACTTACCAAGCAGTGATGATTTTGTAAAAAGTGAAAAATGGTGGAGAAGGGTGTTCATTTATGCAACGATCAATACAATTTTGATAATATACTCATAATGCATACATTGTAAAACTGTATACCAATACAGAAAACAGAAATGTATTGAAAAATAGTAAAGTATGTTTTTTAAACTTGGGGGCAGGACAGCATGTAAAATAGAAGGGTTAAATAATTTAATAGAAACAACAATGTTGCTGTTTTCCTATTGTTATCACTGTTATCAGGGTCATTACATCCACTGTATATTGTACATAGGAAATGTATTGACATATGAAATCAATGATGCCAGGTTGTTCTGCTCCTGTTTGATAGTAGAGACACTTATTTGCAGTGACTTAGATTGATTAGTTTTAAATGGTACTCTACCCCATGTTAAAAGCAAAACAATGTCATTTCTGAATTTTAATTTTTAAACCAGTAGGCAAGAGGTTGACTGTCAATATTAATTATTTAAATTAATATTAATTCTTGGCTTAAATATTGATCACATACTTTACCTGAAGACAACTATCAGGTTTGATACCATATTCCAGCATACAAACTGGGATGAAATAAAGTACCATGGCAACATCCATGAGAATTTTTCACAGCTATGTTTCTCACCTCTGCAATTATTAGAAATCTACTTTGAAAAGGTTAGTGTCCCATAGATGGCACTTATATGAGCATTTAGTTGGCTACAACACCATGTGCTGTCTTCAGGTAAGATACATTAATCAATGGCATATCATAATCATAACAAGATACAACTTTTTTATTGTACAAACTTCTACGAATGAACATGCATTACATTATTTCCAAGTTGTCACATGCATTAAATTTCGAGATGGTTGCAGTAGCATAGTTTCAGTCACAACGGTTGAACTAACAACTACATTTCTGTATATTATAAATTTGCAACATGTTCTGATGAACTCAGTACTTTGCACACATGTGTTTTGTTTCACAATATTTCCAAGTTCAGAAAACAAAATGTAAAGCTTTTGAAATTACATAAGATTTCAGTCCACATGTTTTTTTTACTGGAATAATGGGCATGTGGATTATATGTTTTTGCACACTGAGAACGTAAAATATCCTTATTTAATAAATCATAAATGAACTATGTACATATAAAATGAATACCCTACAAAGTGGCAGAATGATTGAGATAATTTGAGTGTGTTGACAATATATTTTGATTGAAAACTATTTAGATTTCTGAGTCACAAAAGTAATAGAATAGAAATTAGGTTAGTGTTGTAGGATTTTAGATAGGTAAAATTGATTGTAATCACCCTATTGTAACCACATGTATACAAGAGTAAGTTATATATATGACTATGAGTGAAAGGTCTCATTTAGATTTTATAATAAAAAGTTGAATGTAATTGTATCATATGCTAGTTGTTAATAAAATTCTGGTCTGGGAGCAACGGGTGTGTTATTTCATTAAAGAATGTGACAGTTTTTTCTCTATTGCCATTTGGTGAACAAATATCATTTAATATAAACAATATCTCTTAAAACGAGAGAGATGTATATTTTTTGAACATGTGTAGTGGTTCAGTGTGGTGCGCGGCAACTCGGCAACAGTGGACGAAATTGTGGTAGATCGAGCGAGGGGGAGTTGCCCTTCGCCGCCGAGAGAGGCAACAGGTGACGTGACCATCTTCCGGATTTAACTATTACCGGGTTCTATGTTTTTTAAGTTAGTGAATTATTTTGTGCTTTACTACCATTAAAGTTTGTTAGCCATATCGCCGTCGTTATTACTGAAACCCACGAAAAACCCTGAGTAATATTGTGTAAGCACGGATCCACTTCACATGTTAGATTCATTTTATTAAGGCTTTAATAAATATCCTTCGCTCCAACTGTTAACTATCTTTCCCAAGGTCGGATGTATTTGCAAGGGCTGTACAAGATGTAGAAAAAGAGCTTAATTATTTAGCGGGATTCTATAGATTCTGTTAAAAGGGCATATATTGGCGGTCACGACGCAGGTCTTAAGCTCTTGCTTTACGCCCTAGCCAGAGAACTATTTCACGAAGTGGTTAGAAGCACACAAAGGGTTCAAAAATCGCTAGATTAGGGAATGAACCATATGTTTGGCAACATCGCATATAGTGACGTTGGTGACAACATAACTTGAAAGGGTTTCCACTGTTTCCAGTTTCCATTACGAGGCCAAAGTCAAACGTAAACAAAACAAAATTGTTAAGTCTAAAACATAACATTTTATCACTAATTAGATGTGACATATTGTAAATATTTTAAAATGGGAGAATTAGATGTAGAGTGGCCATGGCAGTACAGTTTTCCACCTTTTTTCACTTTACAACCCCACCCAGAGACAAGAGCCAAACAGGTAGCTGCTTGGAAAACTCTTATTTTAAGTTACTGCCAAAAGACGAAGACGTACCTTCTAGATGTAAGAGAGGCTGAACAGATGCCTCTATTCAACAACTCTGCTATCAATAGAAAATTGGAACCAAAAGTTGTAACTTCTATTCTGAGTGAGCTTCAGAAAAGTGGAAATGCTGCCTCTATTGATAAGGCAAAGTATCGCTGGGAAGTATATTGGCATACCCTTGAAGAGTGGGCGTCTATGATTTATGATTATATTAATAATAAAGGTACCTATTTTGGGAACTGTTTAAAGATGAGCAAAGGTCCTTTAATTTCTACTTTTAGGTATGCAAAATACAGTAGTTACTTTATATGAGCTATCACAAGGTGAAGATGTTCAAGATGAAGAATTTTGTGGTATACAACAGGATGTCTTGATAAAAGTACTGGGAATTTTAGAGAATGAAAGGAAATGCGAATTAATCTTGGATGATGAGATCCAGGGTGTTAAATTTTTCTAATCACTGTTGCCTATTTTAATGCTAACTGTATTATTTATTTGTAAAAATGTACAATAAAGTTATGAGCTTTTTACACCTATCTACAGACTACTTCAATGATACACTTTCGTCTGTTGTGTCCTCTTCAAAGCCTAATTTGGACCATTCTTCTCTTGCCATCAGATTGTTTTGCATGCGACATGCAAGATATTCTTTTGCATCTTGCCTGCACTGAGAGTTATCGTTGTTATTCGTGTGAAGACATCTCATATATTTTATCATTAATTTTTTACAAACTCCATCATGATCTAGGGGAAAGCTCCCTTTGTCTGGAGGGGTGGGTATGAATGTTTTTTGGCCAAATGTCATGGAAGACATTTTTGTAATTTTATGTGTCCTATATTTTAACTATGCTGGCAGATCTTGCTGTTTATCGATGGTTTTATGATTTTTCATAAATTTTCCAAAATACGCATGACATTCAATGTATCATACACAAAACATACAGGATACAGACTGTGTCATACACATGAAAACATGTCCTGTAACACAGAAGAGAGAAAACTGGGAATCCACAAAACACATAAGACTATGATCTAGAATTCGACTGATGTAGCGTCTCACGGTTAGTGATGTAAAATAATTAAGTAACGCTTACAAAATAATCGTTACAAATGAGTAACTAAATGTAACGAGTCCTACTTTTTGAAAAGACTCGTTACTTTTTATTTGAATTCGTTACTTTGAATGCGATACGGTCTTTTTCTATGTATACTTTTTAATTACTGTTAGTTACTACACTATACATTACTTTAGATACAAACGTTACTGGGATCTAAGGCAACTTTAGATACTCTTCTATCAAACGAGTTGCGGACTGCGGAGCTTTAGGTTGGCAATGTTTGTGTACACCTGTACACTTTTCATTTGACTTTGAGAGCTACCGGTTGGCGGGTTGTTACTGGTTTGGACGTTGCCTTACAAGCTCGAGCAATAATATAATTATTATTTGTACAAAAATATGGAATCATCCGCGTCCGGTTCAGGAGAATCGCAAACTCAAAAAAGAAGTGTTATTTGGATGCATTTCACCAATATATCGGAAGCTAATGCAAAGTATAATCTTTGTAAAAATATTTATTCGCATAAAAATGGAAACATTAGCAATTTAAGGAAGCATTTGAAAACTAAACATCCGACTCTTTCATTGGAAGGAGAAAGGGCAAAACGGCGGGTGGAATGCCTAGGTGCAAAAGGAACTTAGTTTCAGGTATGTTTTATTACTATAAGTATTTTGTTGAACACCATTTACAGTGGAGTAACCAGAATGTTAAGTAGGGCAGGCGAGTAACCAGACTGTTAGGGCAGGGGACGCTACTCAACTAAAGTAAAGAGTGAGGAGAGTGGTTAAAATATAAGTACCTTCTACGTATCAAATATCAAAAAAGTTAATAGGCAAGGCATTAGAAAAAAAAACAATTGGATCAATCCCAAACTAATAATTTGATATAATAATATATAGAATGTAGATTCTAAACGAAATGTCCAAATAGTAACTAAACTAACGAGTCCAAAGTTCGAAAGTAATGAGTCCTTACAAGCCCTAAAAAGTAACGAAACTTTGCATCACTACTCACGGTTAGGGGGTTAGGGGTGAGACGTCTTATGGGCAAAATGGCGACACCAAGGTCATCCTCTCCCGGCAAAATCGAGGAAGCTGCATTACCGGCATCAAGTGACGTGCTGCTTGCCGGGATTCTCTTTCTAAATGCAAAAATATCAAATATGAGGTTTGTTTGGGTTAACATCCAAATTATCATAGTGGATGCTTTAGGAGATATTTCGTTAAAAATGAGTATAAAATATAAAGCAACACTATCAGTAGCTGTGAGGGTATACATGAGATGTATTGTGACTATTGTGGGAGATGCAGAAGTTCAGAGCCACTTTCCACTGCTTTTGAATTGAGAGTTGTATGCACCCCGAGTGTGACGCTCCCGAACTGCTCTAGCAAATTTGCACGGGAACGCGACGATGAAAACCTAACCTGTTTGTTGATGTTTTGCTTTGGCGTTAAAAATTTGTGTCACACTACGAAACAATGAAAAAGTAAACACATTTTGCCTTTATTTTCAGAAGCATTGTCAAACTATCTAATTGATGCCTCATGACACTTTTAGAATGATGGCGCAACATGTCAGAGGTCTGCATTTTTATTGTAAAGCTTCTGGCTAAATGTGTCGAATTCATATTTTAGTGAAGGCATTCAAAATTATAATTTTGAAAGTATCTAGTTAATGATGAAGCCAACTACAAGCCGCTATAAACCTGTATTCTTGCACTCTGTTGTGATCTTTATTATTCAGGAACATCTAAAATGTACGTTGCGACTGTGGATCATAACATTATCAGATTTTTACCATCCTCCATCGTCTGGTATCGGTTTAATGTGAGCTTAATGCAAAACAAACAAAAACGATGAAAAAACACAACCAATGATATTAACACATTGTCATTTTCAGTATCCCCACGATTTCTAAGAACCGAATAAAAATTGGTGCATGAGGGGGCAGGGGATTTCAAAAATGAGTAGCTCAGGTGCTCGACACTCTATAGCACTGGAACGGTATTGACATGTGGGTAGTTCCGAGTAACACAAAATACAAATGAGACAGCTCAGAAGACTGTTATGTCATAATGTGCTACAGGTAGGCTGTGAACATATTGGCATCATGTAGTTGGTAGATTATTTAAAATTGCATGTCTGGATTCAGCCTCTTTATAATCCTTGCAGTTGGCACCGTTATATAAAGTACTAAAGTTTTTTTTGTATTAAATAAGACATGGTAATCTCTATCAGCAGAGTACAGTCAAAAAGCCCTAAGCTTTATAAAGAAAAATCTGCACATCTAGGTCAACAAATTAAAGGCATGGAACTGAGCAAACTAATCAAAAGTGACCAGTTTATTTACAAAGAATTATGAATTACATTCGTGTTTTTCTGCATCGTTTAAGATTATCAAGAAGCAATTCAATGAAGCAAGACAACTGTGCTTTGCAACACAACATGAATTTGGAATACATCTATCTATATTTCAAGGAGTACAATTTTTATACCATTGTCAATAGCAGTATTATTTTTTTAGACTAAATATATTTTATGCTTCAAAATAATAACTCTTGGATTTTATTATCCCAAACCTTGTTCTCAGCAAAACTGCTGAAAGAGATATTTCCTTATTGGGGCATTTTATGAAATAATCCTTCAATATCGGAAATATCATTTTCAGCAGATTTCGAATTAGGAACAAACGAAATCCCCGGCAGATTCCTAGCATTCCTTATACCACGCGCATTAGCGGCATTCATTCGATAGTTAATCCAGGATCTCGAGGCAAGTAGGCGGTGCAACTACCTGACAAACGTCAACGGCGTTGACATCGCTTTACGTGCAGCTCCCATCTCACACTTCTTCAGTTTTATGTGTTTTGTGGTTAGGGGTGCATTAGTGATGGGTACTCAATACTTTTGCAAGTATCGAATAGATACCGATACTTTACCTGTAAGTATCCCATACTGAGTATGCAATACCGATACCAAGTATCGGCTCGATTAATTGCCGTTAGTATCCGTTAATTTAATACTGCTAGTGTGAAATAATAATAATAAATAATAATAATCCTGTTCGTGTCTTTATGTCGCTGATCCAGGCCCCGATCTTCGAATTTATTGCTTACTGGTTGTTTACTGTTATTATGCGGTCTCGGTCTCCTATAAGTAGGTATCATCGAGTATAGACTAGAAATTAGAAATGACTGATGAGTAGTGATGAGCGATACCCTGAATTTTAAATTACATTGCTATATTTGTTAATGTTACAATATTGGTTAAAAATAAAATATAAATTCTGGGCTTTTGTAACCAGAAATTAATTTCACCCTTTTGCTTCAGTTAAGTGTTAGAAATCTAAATGAAACACTTTAATTCCCAAAAGTTCCCCCAACTGACAACCGGAACGTGCAACAACCCAAAAATCGTATTCAAATTACCAATCTCGTAAGACTGCCTTAGTTTTTTATCCTTTCGGTTCCCAATACCTAAGATCGAATCTATATCGAATATCGATATCGACATCTACATAAACGTGACGGTAGACATCAACATCCTTATCTTAACGAGTTCTGGGAATCCCACGTGTCGGCCTCGACGTTGCGTTGAGAAGAACTACTGGGTTATGTCATATCAAAAAGTATAGCTTACATATTTACATAAGTTTAGAAGTGCTTAGTGTATTATATTATTCGCTTTTTCAAAATATAATAAAATATGAGTGATAAAAGAAGAAGTGGTGTTTGGTTGTATTTCAATGCAATTGATTCAAATAAAGCAAAGTGTGACATTTGTAAAAATGTCTTATCCTATAAAAATGGCGGAATTGATATAAAAATTGATGAATCAAACCATAATAAACTGAAAGATGAACTTCAAAATAAATTGAATGAAAAATACTAAGTTACTGAGCCGAAAATGTTAAATCCAAAAATTAAAATAATAAATTATAAAAGTAGTGAGAAACCGAATGAAAAGCAAATTGAAGAAGATCTTATACATTAGAATTATATGATTCAGAGTGGAGACATACAAGTAAAGTTTATCAAATATTTTCCATCAAGAAACAATTACACTATCTACGCGGAAACTTCTGGAAAGCTATTCAAAAAAATCTTCGAAGACAATAATAGAAGAATACTTCTGGGATGGCAATGTTTGACAGTATATCAAAATAACGACATTTCTCAGTGTAGAAAATGCTACCGTTTTAATCATACAGAGAAGAATTGCAGGAATGAGAAGATATGTGCCAACTGTGGCAACGGTCACGAAGAAGAAAATTGTAAGCATGTATCAATAGAATGCTGCAACTGTAGATATGGAAATGAAAGATACAAAAAAAAAATATAATATTAACCACTCACCTACCGACAAAAACTGACCATCGTACAAATATTATCAAGAACAACAAAACTTAAGGATAGTTTTTTAAATTTCAAGTTCATCTTTTACTATTCCTATCTCTAAAGAGGACCTAAAAATGTCAGCAAATAAATACATTAATGATTTCCAAATTCCAAGTATTGCAACAAATATAGCACAAAACGTCGATGAACTTAATTTATGGACACAAAATTCTGATGCAAAATTTCGAATTTTTAATATGAACATAAGAAGTATAAAACACAACATTGATTACTGAAAAATACTACTCGACCAAATATGGTACAATTTTGATCTAATAGTTTTAACTGAAACGTGGCAAGTGGCTGATATTTCTTGCTTTAATCAGCAGGGATATGACACAACTTTGGCAC